CATCTCAAAGTATAGGGGGTCGAAGAAGACTCCCTCTTGAGATGGTTCGTCGAATTGGATGACGCCATAAGGGCGCGTCGCATCGACGACGGGGATATGCAAGTTGCATTTGCCCAGTCAAATCTGGCAGGACGTGCCAAGACTTGGGCACTGGGGCTCAAGTTGCACGACCCATATGCGTTTGGGTCGTTGGAAGTCTTCAAGTCGCGGCTCAGACAAACGTTTGAACCGCCTAGAGCTGAGTTCAGAGATCGAACCGAACTCTTGAAGCTCAAGCAGGGTAAGCGTGATGTGCACGCTTACGCTCAACATATACGACATCTCACGAGTTGTATAAGTTCCAATCCGGTGGATGAACACACGTTGGTTTCGGTGTTCATGCAGGGTCTTGCGGATGGTCCCGTCAAGACTCACCTGTTCCGGCTTGAACTAGATTCACTAGAACAAGCCATTTCAATTGCGGAGCAGGAAGACTTCAGTCTGAGACAGGCTCGCGCCAGCTCGACATCATATCGTCAACCGAGACGATATGACAACGGAGGTCCAGAGCCGATGGAACTCTGTTATGTAGAGAGCGAGAAGGCTCGCTCTACAGGCTACAAGAAGTTGCAGAGATGCAACAGATGTCAAAAGACAGGACACTACGCTTACGAGTGTAGTGCCCCTCGTCCAGTGTCTCGCAACACTGGGCGTAGTGACCGTCCACCCATGAGAAAGGGTCAGGGACGCGGGTCCGCTGTTGGTGCAAAGACGCAACAACGGGATGGACCGTAAAAAAACGGACAGGATCAGTAGGTGCGGAGCACCCTACTGGTCCAGCAACGTCAAGAGAATTTGTAGGCCTCTTGATGAAGGTTGCTCCCAACACACAGACATTGTGCGTTGCTGCTCTAGGTAATGAGATCTCACTCATTACCTTGAAACTCGAAGTGACAAATAAGTTGTCCCTTCGAGTTCTAGTCGATTGCGGGGCGTCCAACAATTTTGTGCGACGCCAATCGCTAGAAGATGGTCACTTTAAGTTCAGTGAATGTGACACACCCCCTACGAGGATGACCGTACGTCTTGCGACAGGCGCATCCGTAACCGTCATGAAGCGTATAGTGAAGATCCACTATACGCTAGAAGATACCCAATATGACGATGACTTTATCGTATTGGATTTGGATGACAAATTTGATGTCATCCTTGGAATACCGTGGCTCAGAAGGTGCGAACCACGGGTAAACTGGCAACATCGGACAGTAACGATGCCTGCCGCTTTTTTATCAGATGGCCATCTGATGAACGTTTTGGAGCGTCCACAAGCGTGTGGATGTACTACGAGTGAGTGCGATGTCCTCACTTGTGGTACGGTCGTTAGTACGACTGCACAAAACCTTAGTGTACCAAACGGTTACACTTCGGAGCAAAGTTCCGGCGGCTGTGAGGAAACACAGGCTGCGCCGAAGGTCCACCACTCGAATAAGTCGGGTGGACTGGGACAAAGATGTATCCCTAGCGGGGAACATCTAGAAGAGAAACAATCGATCGCTCAGGTTAAGCGAAACGATAATCCTAGATCGACTGAAGAGTCTTATGTAGAGGATCTCGCTGTGGTTGCGCAACCACAGCTAGAGGAAGTAAAGGGAATAAGTCCCAAGATTACAAATACGGCGGAAATAAGTTCCCCGAAACCCGCGGGAATAAGTCCCCGGGAAGCCGAAGGAATAAGTCCTTCGAGGCCTGAGGGAATAAGTCCCCAGGAAATGACAGAGACATTGAATGTCATAGTCAATAACGGATTAAGTGTAGGCGCTTATACACTTGATCTGATTGCGCCTCCGAAGTTGACTTCGGAGATCACTCAGTTGCCAACGCTCGAACATAAAAGGTTCTTGCGTGATCTGCGTAGTGGCAAAGTCAAGCAGATCTGCGTACTCGTCGCTGACGACGAGTATGTAACCGACATAAGGTCAGCAACAGTGTTTACTGAGAACGAGAGAGTTCTCAGTAGTTCATCTATGGACGAGAGTGTCCTAGATGAAAAGACACGAATTGAGCGATATGAGTCCCAATCATGGGAATCGCTCAAGGAAAATCCTCTCTATGAAGATTTGGTTGAATTCAAGGATGTATTCCCTGAAACTGTTCCGTGCGAATTACCGAAGGATAAAGGTATTCGACACGAAGTCGAGCTTAAACCAGGCTCGAAGTACTGTGTCATGAAGCAGTGGCCACTGCCTCGTGAACAAGTACTTGCGATCGACAAGTTCTTTGCCGATCGTTTAGCAGCGGGCCATGTGAGAGAATCAACTTCCCCACATAGCTCTCCGACCTTCTGTGTGCGAAAAGCAACAGGAGGGTGGCGGATAGTGCACGCGTTTAACAAATTGAACGCTGCAACGGTACCGGCTCAGACGCCGATACCGAGGAAGGACGTAATCATTGATGGTATGTCAAAGAGTACCATCTTTTCGTCCATGGATTTGATGAATGGCTTCTATCAAATCCTAATGCGGGAACGGGATATACCCTATACCGCAGTTAGCACGCCTAGCGGCATGCTCTGGGAATGGCTAGTAATGCCACAAGGGCTCAGTAATGCCCCTGCCACGTTCAACAGGTGTGTATCACATCTGTTGAGGCCAGTACGAGAATTCGCGCCGAGTTATTTCGATGACGTATTCATCCATAGTCGAGCTATGGATGGAAAGTCGGACGTTGAGGTTCACAAGTACCACGTCCGACAAGTTCTTACAATCATGCGAAAGCATCAATTGTATGCAAACCTCAAGAAGTGTATATTTGCAGCAAGCGAAATACCACTTCTTGGGTGCATCGTTGGTAAGAACGGTGTACGTCCTGATCCCGAAAAGATCAAGGCGATCACCGACTGGCCCGTGCCGGTCGATGTCAAAGGTCTTCGAAAATTCCTTGGGCTAGCGGCGTATTTGCATAAGTACTCACGCAATTACGCCGAGATGACTGTACACCTCTCTCGTTTGTTGAAAAAGAACGAGAGGTGGTTATGGAACGCTGAATGTCAGCGCTCCTTTGATGGTATCAAGCAGAGCTTGATACAATCCCCAGTCCTAGCAATAGCCGATCAGGACAGGCCATTTCATGTGGTCTGTGATGCTAGCGATTTCGCAATCGGCTGTGCATTAATGCAGTACGATCTAGAAGGCGTTGAACGCGTCGTCTGCTATCAGTCGCGTCAGCTGTAACCAGCTGAGCGGAACTATCCAGTGCATGACAAGGAACTACTTGCCATGAAGTATGCACTCGCGACGTACAGAGTCTATCTATTAGGAGATAGACCCTTCATTGTTTACACTGACCATGCGTCATTACGCACGGCAGTGAACAGCCCGCACCTTTCACAACGAATGGCGCGGTGGTTGTCATTCTTTGCAGAATACAACTTTACGGTCGAGTACAAACCAGGACGACTTAATGTCGTCGCTGATGCACTCTCACGTCGTCCCGACTTTGAAACAGTCGCGAAACCCAACAGTGAGACAGTCACTGTTGCGGTTATGACGTCCTCAGTTCCATCTACAACGTTGTATGATGATGTGAGGCGGGCATACGCCCAAGATGGTGAGATAGTGAATTTGTTGTCACATCTCTCCCAACCATCTCGAGAATTGTTGAAACGATTGTCGTCTGCGTATCGATCTGCATCAGATCGATACACTACTCGTAACGGGTTACTGTATTATACAGCCGTTTCTGGTGACACACCACGTGTTGTCATTCCAGATGATACTGATCTGCGTTTGCGGATCATGTTCGAGTATCACGATGCTCCTATAGGAGGACATCGTGGCCGAGAGAAAACATATCTCACGGTAAGTCGAGACTTTTACTGGCCCCGCCAGTATCAGTTTGTGCGAAAGTATGTTCGCGTATGCGAAGTCTGTCAACGAGTGAAGTCAAGTCCTTCACTGCGTGCACCTTTACAGCCTCTACCGGTTCCGGCTGAGTGCTGGGAATCCATCTCAATGGATTTCGTCTTTGGGTTACCCAAAGACGCACGCGGGAATACGGGTATTCTCGTATTTGTTGACAGATTCAGCAAAATGGTACACCTAGTGGCTGTGCTTGTGTCTTTATTGACACCATCTTCCAACTTCATGGGTTGCCCCGTGAACTCGTATCAGACAGAGATCCACGATTCACTGCTGATTTCTGGCGTTCCGTGTTCAAATAACTCGGAACGCGCTTGAAGATGTCGACATCTGATCATCCAGAGTCAGATGGTCAGACGGAACGTGCCAATCGCGTCCTCGAAGAGATACTTCGAGGATACGTACACTCCTTTAAGAGTTGGAGTGAGTTTTTGCCAATGGTAGAGTTTGCCATCAACAACTCGGTGCATGCGTCCACGACCCATACACCGTTTTACGTGAATGGCTTGCGCCATCCGCGTGTACCCACCTTACTAGAGTGTAACTCTGGTTTAAGGGGGGGAGGGACTCGCGCGAGCAAAAACCGATTTGGTTCACGCTCATCACGCTCTGACGAAGAAGTCATTGCGTTTGATGCCGATATCGATAACATCGATATCGAAGAAGATGATGCCAGTGAGAGTGCGGAAGCCCTCACTGAAGACAATGATCCCAGTGAGAGTGCGGAAGCCCTCACTGAAGAAAAGGTTGTTGTCGCTGCAGTGCGCTCACAGCACACTGAAGCTAACGAGTCATCAGATGAGTTCATACTGGCTCGTGAAACGGTAGTCCGTTTTGTGCAAGACTCCATCGCCGAAGCGGTGGATAAGCAAAAGCAAAACGCTGACAAGTATGGAAGGGCAAACACTCTTTTATTTAATAAAGGTGACTTAGTCCTACTGTCTACGGTTAATCTACCAAAACATGTAGTGACTAACTTGGGTAGCAGTAAACTACTACCCAAGTACATTGGCCCATTTCGTGTATTGCACCGCCTAGGCAATGCATACACGATCGAGTTACCACGTAAGATGCGAACGCATCCCACGTTTTACGTTGGTCGGCTTAAGCCGTACCATCAGTACGCTGCTTCTTCCGATGAAGAACGCCCTTGCGCTCAAGCATCTCGCAGAGAGCCTTGTGCTCCCGATGGTGGGCATCAACAAGGGTCTGAAGAGCAGTTATCTCAGCCCGAGACCGATCAACAATCCCACGAGCTACCCTTAGCTCGTCACGAAGAGATGTCAGAGATCTCTCGTTCTCAAGCTGAGCAAAGGCAAACTCAGCTCGATGCTTCGAGGCAGTGTCCACCATCTGGAGACGCCTATTCCGCTCATGCTCGAGATCGTCGCGTAACCCTTGCGTTACGCGATCAAAGAAGCTCTCGGGAACACACCGATCCACATGATCGTGTGGAGAGCGTCTTTCCTCCTCCTCCACCTCCATTAGAGGACTCTCGCGGTGGCCAGCGCTATCTAGTAGAGCAGCTGTTGAACCACCGCGACGTGAACGGACGTCGGACGAGTTACCTCGTCCGGTGGCGCGGCTATCCCCCGTCCTGGGATTCTTGGGAGCCCCGCTCCCAATTGATGGTTGACGTACTGGGTCTGGTCGAGCAGTACGACGCGGCACATCCTGTGCCGCAGAAGGACCGCCGGAGAAAGTCTTCCCGGCACGGTCGTAAAGGGATTTCAGGTTGTCAATCCCTTCGTACATCTCAGTAGAGACACGTACGTGCCACCACGGGCTGGTAAGGAGGTAAGCCTCCTTAGGTGCTCGTGCAGAGTTGTTCACACAACATGGGCACGAGTCTCCCCAAGAGAGGCAGGGTAATCCTTTCTCCCTTGACAGACGATGCAGCTTATAGCGTGCACCTGTCGGGGTTCGCTTTTCAAACTTATCACGAGCTTTGATAAGTTTGTCGTTCCAAGCGTCACGACCTACATCCTCGAGATTATGGATGTAGGCGTTCCACGCCTGAAGTAGTGAGGGACCATCACGTTTGTGATTCCCACTGTACCATCGATGTCTGAAGAAAGCATCGATGAAGAACTCATGTTCAGCGCGATAGTCTTTCGCGCTGGGGTCAAGGTGATGAATCCTCGACGAATCGAACAATCGTGTTCGATAACGATCACTCGTCGTCGCCGACAAGTGATCCATGACAGATTTAGGAGGCATCCATGCCTTCTTTTTCTGGAGCGAGACGCAACACATTGCGGTCCCGCTCTTCCTGCGACGTGCCGACAGAAGTACTGGCACCTCGCTGTGAAGTGGTGTCCATTGGAGAAACGACACCACTATTAGCGCCCGAGTCTCGCGACCTCGAGCGCCTTCGCTTCGGCGATGGTTCATCTGACTCATCAGATGAACCAAAGATGCTGCGACGCAAAGCATCGTCCATGCCACGCTTGGCAGGCGGCTTGGATTCAATTGCCGTCGATACGGATCCGTCATCCGTATCAGGAGAGTACGAGACACCGAGCTCGTACTCTGTGAAGACACGAGTGTCTTCATGACCAGCGCCTGCATCACCAGGTGATACAGGCTGAGTCGATTCAGCAACCGATGGGACATCAGTTGCTGTAGTTTCTGCTTCGGCGTCCGCACAGAGACGTGCAGACGCGCTCTCGGCGGCCTTGCTCGCGCATGGGCTTGTTTACCATGCGATGAGATGTTGGAAAGTGGACGCGGACCAACAAGTGCAAACCCTGTCCCAAATGATTTGGGACGAGTATCCATTTAGTCAATCAGTCACTAAAGTGACTGATGGTTAAGGGGGGTGATGTAACGGGGTGAATCGTTACATAACAATTTATAAGAAATTGTTAATAGAATATAACTATAAGAGTTATATTCTCAGAATATTGTCATAAGGACAATATTCTGTAGCACTTCCAAGTAGTTCCTAATTGGTTGATATAGGCCATTATGTCAACCAACGAAGACGCGCCACGACAGACGCACGCAATGAGTGGTGAGCAGATAACTGATTTACACATTTGTATTTAGACATAGTTAGATGAAGATAAATAGTGATTTATTGCAGACATTAACTATTATAAATACAGTTCTACTTTATACTTAAACTAAGTACTCGCTTCTTCTTACCGTCTTCCTCTGCACGTACGAGTGTACGTGAAGTTACGAGGCACCGCCTTATTCTGTTATCAGAATAAGTAGCTTGTACTGTCACCAGTACAAGCTTCAGGGTGCCCCGTTACACTGCTGCTGTCTCAACAGTTCAAACTGTTGAGCACCCTGTTCTCTCAACAACTCTGCTTGTTGAGAACCGTGTTGGTGAAGCAAGGCTACTTTCTCGCGTTCTGCGTCAAGTTCATTTTGAATGAACTTGGCGATAGTAGCATGTTGGGCATCTCTATTGAGAGCCTCTAGCATGACGCTAACAGCATGGATGCCCATGGTTGAACCCATTCGTTCAACCGCATCCCATTCGACATCGCTCAAATGGGAGTAGCCGCCACGCGTAGCGTGAAAGCTTTGGTCATCTTCATCATCCAACATATTCATGTTAGATGTGAACGTGGTCCTTGGACGGACTACGAAGTGCTACCAGGTGTAACGGGGCATTCTGAAGCTTGTACTGGTGACAGTACAAGCTACTTATTCTGATGACAGAATAAGGCGGTGCCTCGTAACTTCACGTACACTCGTACGTGCATAGGAAGACGGTAAGAAGAAGCGAGTACTTAGTTTAAGTATAAAGTAGAACTGTATTTATAATAGTTAATGTCTGCAATAAATCACTATTTATCTTCATCTAACTATGTCTAAATACAAATGTGTAAATCAATTATCTACTCACCACTCATTGCGTGCGTCTGTCGTGGCGCGTCTTCGTTGGTTGATATAATGGCCTATATCAACCAGTTAGGAACTACTCGTAAGTGCTGCAGAATATTTGTCCTTATGACAATAATCTGAGAATAAAACTCTTACAGTTAAATTCTATTAACAATTGCTTATAAATTGTTTTGTAACGATTCACCCTGTTACAAATATAGTTAGATAAAGATTAGAGATAATTGATAGCTTAACTAGATTAATTACAGTTCTCTTTTTACCTGTACTTGACCGAGTTGTTCAAGTAGAATAGCTTTCTCTGCACGTACTAGTGTACGTGAAGTTTCGCGGCACCCCAAACAAAAGGTGCCCCGTTACACTTAAGGCCAATAATCAGCTCGGAAGAGAAGCCGACACATGTACCTAATACAATACATTATATCTAATGTTAAATTAATCAAAAGATGAACTACCACAGTGCCTTTATTTAAACTAGGGCATGACGCCACATATCTGTGCATTCCGTTGATCGTCCATTAGCATACGTGGTGTGGCTTCTGATCGATCGCCAATCACCCTCGATCTCCGCTCATATCATCAACCCCGATCACCCTATATATTCTCGATCCTGTTATTTTGAAAATCAATATTTCAATATAGATGTTTGATCTTAGTATGTTGATATTCGATCACAGCATTTAAATGCTCGGCATACCAGCTAAAACGCATCAACGGTCGAAACGTCTTATTTGGTACTCCGATGTGCTAAAGCTCAGTATCACGTGATCTAGAATTTCTGTAAATCGCAGTTTGTTGATGCTTAAACGCTCCTTGTCTATTGCCAACACCGCAGCTATTTGATTCACCAGTAAAGCCGATGGCTATCAGCAGTGGCGACAGCAGATACTGTTAGCCATCGGCTAATGAGTGAATCAAATAGCTACACATCAATGCTTCTCTCGTCACCAAACGCTGTTCACCCCAACAATTATTTCTTTCATTAATGGGACATCATTGATGCCCCATTTGTGAACGTTTTGCGTCATGATGCCGCATCATGACGCATGACAGCTACCCCTCGCAAACTAAATTATTTTTGAGTTCAAGCGCTGAGTTGGGTCTCAGTGCATGACCTGAAATCACTCATTAGATGCGATTGTGAACTACTGCATACACGAAAACAGAGGATGTCAATCAAAAGGAAGTGTTAGGAGTCCGGAACAAAATATTGTGTCTGCGATGTGTACCCGTTCTGCGACATCAGCTTTGTATGTGCCCCGTCCTTAAACAACAGTTGCATTCGCTTAGCGCAGTTTCACTGAAAGAAACGCTACTTTGCAGTGACTGGAGATTCGTTCGGCTTCACATGGCCGATTTGTACAAAGTGCAGCAAATCATTGACAACAAGGGAAAGGTTTATCGTGCCGGTTGCTAGTAGGTCATTTTACCCACGATTTGGTTTGGCCAACTAACAAGATGACTTCTAATCTCAATCTGTTCTATATAGTCTGATTCTTGATGTAAAGGTGCTTGTCGATGTGAATGCAATCTGCAAATTAAATTTGTTTAGATTCTTCGTTTGCAACTTCTTTTTGCTACTTTTTGTCTATTGGATTCTTCGACTATACAACAGTAATCGACACTACGCGCGTTACTCGTTGTATAGTCGCACATGAGTAGTCTTCTCTATCTATACGCCTTGCTCATCAGATAGTCGCACATGAGTAATTCACACTACTGGTATTACTCATCAGATAGTCGCACATGAGTAAATCACTACTGGTATGACTCATGGTGTTACGGGGTAGCCCGTTACATGACATTTGGTGTCAATAGGGAAACTGTCCAGCGTGACAATCTTCTGCCACGCTGGGTCGTGCCCTGTCATCGCGTTCTTCATCTCAAAAGGTGCTTTATGTCGCAAACGAAGAATAGTGTGTTGCTTTCTAGGACAGGAGAACAAGGAGACTCGAAACACTCAGCGATGAATTACCAGCTGTACATTCGTGCGATGATTTGCTCGAGTCAAGCTGGCGATTGAGCGCTTGCCCGACCGCAAAGCTTGACTTTGTTGTTGATGGTGTTTCAAGAACACGACAATCACTTATCGCAGACTCAATAATTTTTGCGTTGGGACGATGCGTGGGATTGTAGAGCACGACTCAAAAGCGCTGTTTACGTACGACTGCATGCTGGAGGATTCAAAAAGTGGAGTGGCAGCCTATCAAAAAAGAGGATGTTCGGACCGTCGCCTGCGATCGAGGGTATAGTGCTTTAACACGAGCAGTGTACTGCTCACTTTGCTCGCGCTAGCCTCTGTTAATGTCCCGTCGAGATCACTTGAACATAGGCGACCAGATCTCAGACACGTCTGTAGTGTTGAACAAGGCCGACCAGATGAAGGACATGTTTGTGGTGTTGAACAAGGCCGACCAGATTAAAGACACATTTGTGGTGGACAGGGTCCCATCGATCTGGTTCCCATCCACCGACTCAATCCGGTCTCTGAGGCCCCACTCGCCTACTTTCCTCATTCTAGAAACTGCCTCCTACTCAAGAACCACCCATTGACGACAAGCATGCGCCTTTGCGTCGTCCTCATCCCGTTTGTGGCCGCCTCCGTTGCAAACTGCGCCAGCGTCACTGGCTTGGACCCGCGGTCTGTCGAAGACGTGACCACCAAGTTCCTCGCGGCCAGGGGTCTCCGTGCGCAATCGGAACCTTTTCAAGAAGAGCGAGCCGTACCTGTTACTGATGAGGTCCTTGCTGGCCCTAGGGTTGAACAAGTTTTAACGCATGTGGTCCAGGACCAACCACAATTTGCTTCAGCTGTGGCACAGGCTAATCGGGCTCACGCGACTCCGGAAGCCGTCCCTGTTCACCAACCCAATGCTGACGTGCCTGCTGGTCCACAAACGCACCCTGAACCTCAACAGGCGCGTGCGACAGCTGAGGCACCGGAAGCTGGCGCAACTTCACCCAAAGCCAAGGAGCTCACTCCTGAACAGCAGAAGAATTCCCATGCTCAGGCTCATGCGGCCCCGGAGAAGACATCGAAGCTTCGCAAGACCTTCTATTGGCTTGCTGGGATCCTTGGTGTCACTGGAGCAGCAACGCTCCTCTTCAAACTCTGGCAAAACCACCACTCGGGGCCGCCCGAGTCGACGGCGGCGGCCGGAACTTTGGCCCCACCCGCGGCCTCGTCGTTGGTTTGAGGATCAAGCCAGTCTCGCTCGATTGAAGCCAGAGCAAGCTTTGGTGCTTCAGAGCGGGTGGATAGGCAAGGCGTTCAAGGTGGCGTAGAACGATCGACTGCTTCGAATGGACGATTCTCGTAGCAGTGTCTTTAGCTTTTACATTTTGTTGACCTGCTTTATAATGAATGGAGATGCATGCCTGTTTTTTTGTTTTCCTTGTCGAGTGGAGTATGTGTGCTGTGCTGTGTTCGAAACGCTACCTCTCCCAACATGCAGAGCAAACATGGCCAGCAGACTGCATGTGGTACATACACATGCTGCCAGAGGCTCCTGAACGGTACAACCTTCACCTACCGTTCGTGCTCGTCTCGTCGTTTGCAGACGTGCTTAACATAAGGGGATTGGCGGCACATCTCCCTCGCCACCAAATCGATGGAAGATGTCGTAGAGTTGACATTAAAGAGAAGTAGCGTCACGACCGCGGACACGGTCGCTGATTGACAACGGCTGGACAAACAACTTCACAAACTCAAGGACGAGCCACCACAACTACGCAAATCTCTGCATGAATATTCTTGAGTGGACATCGCTTGTTGCAGGTCACGCTGGCTCCGACGACCGCACGACGGGTACAATAAGAGTTGCTCCCCGGCTTAAGTGATGCTCGAAGCGATGAATAACTGTCAATGTTAGCGACGCCGCAGTCGACACATAGCTAGACATCACGATAAGTCGTAGTAGTAGAACGCGTCGCAACTACACACCATCGGGAACATGCCATCGCAGACGGTAGTCGTACCAGAGTCGAGCAGACACGTGTCTGGATGTGTACCGACGCTGGCCAGCCCAACATATAGTTGTCCGCGATGGTTGTACTCTCAGCACTTCAAGAGCGACTGCGTGGCCCTGAGAGAACTAGTTCAATCGCTTCATCTTTGTTTGCGAAGAGAGGGTGTTGTTGTCATGAGATGCTCCCCACATTCTTTTAAATGACTAAACATTCATCTATCCAGCCGCAATTTGTGCCAGTAATCTACTGTCGCAACCATTTCTACACAGCATTGATTAACCTCAGTGCGTCTAAAGTCACAGGAGTCCACACCACTCATCGATATACACATCAACACCAACACGAAACATGACCAAGCTAATCATTGCAAATATATTCATATGACCAATTATTTGCAAAACTTTGCCTACTTCTAGCGATCGATCATCTGTATCCACACCTTCGCCACACCGTGTTCCTACACCACACGATTTACACACAGCACCGAGCGCATGGCCGACCTTTCTAGATTGGGCCTGGGCCCGATGAGCTGCCCGTCATCGCTGTTTCGCCCATTTGCGACATGTGCTTTATGTGGCCATATGTCAACCACGAACCAGCCCCAATCGCTGCAATGACTGCGGCAATGATACCAGCAGCTTTCCAGAATCCTCTCTCGTCATGATCCTTGGACAGTGCCAACAGCTTCTTCTCTAATTTCTCTTTCAGAGCTGAAGTGGGCGCCACTTGGTCCGAATCGTCAGAAGCCAGTGTCCCCACCACTGGAGGCTGATTCTTGAGCTGCGATTTCGTGCCCACGACGTTAAGGCTTAGAGGCTTTTCCTCGTCTTGAATAGCGTCATCCCCACGAAGGCGACGAGTTTCGGGACTCCTGACGGTTGGGCCTTTTGCAGCAGCGAGACCTGCGCTGGTAAAGCTGTTGCAACATGCAAGAAAAGTGGCCACGACAAGGCTGAGAACGAGATGGAACTGCATGTTATTTGTCAGGATAGGTCTTGGAATGCAACCAAATTGTTGAATGAGGTGGTGGAATGGAGGCACGCCGAAGCGATCCCCCTTAGCCAATGTCACAAATCGATCAGGCCGTATCTGCCAGAGATTCCCTGATCCGATAGCTGCATCCTGATATACGGATGGTTGTCTGTCTTTACTGCCTAGAAGCTGAGTGAACAACACATTTGACTCCAGATCATGCGTTTTTTAATCTGACAGAGTGAAAGAGCTCGATGTCTAAGAGTTACACGAAATAAATGTATTAGGTATTCAGTTGCATCGTTTGCTATCAAATGTGAGCCAGTTCCATTCACTAAAGCGTGGTAACATCTTCCAGTCTTGCGAGTGGAGTAAATCTGACGCTACGTCTCAAACCGCCATGAGTGTAGCCAGCAATAAAAGAAAGCGCCACGGGATTGTGTATTACATGGTGTTGTAGCCTGAACGCAGGAGTAAAGTGCCACTCACGTTTGCTGATCGGATAAAACGGGATCAGTCTGTCCATTCCCAAAGACTGACACTGCTACCTTCACGAGCAGTAGTTGCCCCGATCAGGTCATCGTCAGGATACGTTGATCGCAGTTTCTCGCAGACATCACTACGAGACCACGTTCTGTGCCTTTCTGCACAGCAAAAATTGGAGTCCTCGTTCTTTGTGAAAGAAAAAGGTGATTAATAATGCAGGATCAGTGCTGCATATGCTTTTGAAGCACGAGCCTTGGGTACAGTGGCATTATAAAAAAGGGGGCCAGCACGACAGGACCATTTCGGCGCTCAGCCAGTCAATCGCGAGCTCGTTGAAACTGTCCCGAAGTCACGCTCAGACAACGCAGTTCAGTCTCAGCTCACTTACTTGCTTTTACATTTGCCGACAAGTTCCGGCAGTTGCGAACATACACAAACGTTACAGTAAGAACCGATAGATGCGACAACAAACGTAAAGCTTTAAGGTGTCTTCATAGTGAGGGCTTCAATAATGATAGATTAATGTCACATTGTACTCCAATAAGTCATCTATGCAGCCCGGGCGAGGCCTTTTGCGGGGGAAGACAAGCAAACATGTTAGTGCTCCGATCTTGGTGGTGAAATGGTACTAACTTTGCTTTTGCTTCCCCCTTGTCGTTTTCATGACAGCTTCTTCTACTATAGCACAGTTGAGGTGCAAGGCATTCTGACAGAGTAAATTGGAAACACGATATTATAACGTACGTGCTTTACCCGCCTCAGCATTGTCAGCTTTCGAAATGCGATAGACTGCAGCGAGCTAGGGTATCATCATCACATGTGCATTTACAGGATCTACTGTCATCAATCGTACACCTTATGTGCAACTGCACGTCTAAGACGCTAATACTACCCGCACAGTTCCAGGGCCTTATTGCTGTGTCGTCTCCGTTTGCCATGATCGCAAATGTGAGCACTTCTATCGTCAAACGCACTACCGGGAAGCCGTCTCAATTCTTGGCGCATGGAGCGTAAAGCGTAGTCAAGCCCATTTCTTCGACTTGACCTCAATGGTCTCCTCGCTTTGACTGACCGACAGATGCGTTGGCGTTACGTACCACATTTGCAGGCCCCGTGCTTCTTCCTCGATGCTGCTGCCTCCTATTTTCTCTACCTCCCCAGTACTTGGCGCATGATTGTTCGCGTTGGCCGATTTCTTCGCAAGCTTCTTCTAGGGATTAATCCTTGTGCTTCGCGGATCCATTAAACTCAAAAAGCATCTCGATTTGCATTTTCTTGTGACTTCTGTAATGGCTCAGGCGGAGCGATCTGGATCTCTGCTTCAAAATCCTGGTGTTGCCGCAGAGTCAGCATACCCTCGTCATCTCCTTTTTCCCACGGCCTTACGCTCAACAGGACGATATCCGCATCAACTCCATTGTGCTTGGCCGGTAAGAGCAACTTCATTACACTGTCCTGATGCAAGATCAACCTGAATGCCCAACTCAAATAGTTTTCATTCCGCATTATGTCACATAAGCTGAAGTTTCGGGCGCTGACCGACTGATTGAGGTCGCGCAAAGCTTTTACTCGCACTAATGTTCAAAATTAAACAAAGTACGAAGCAGAGTCTCGTGCTCTTTCCAACAGATCATGCGATCCCTGGAACAGCTCTTTCTGATTTAAAAACAGATAAACCGACGGTGCATATAGCTGAAAACTCGGCATGCAGTTCTTCGAGTCTAAAAAGGGCAACAACGTCGAGCAAGTAGTCAGTCAGAGACAATAAAACCTCATTGGGAGCTTCACGATCGCCGTGTTGAGTCAGAAAATACATGTTTCACAGAATACCAGCTCCAAAACAAGTAACAATGCACGCGAATAATCCAAATCATCTAGCAACACTTCATCTCCCTGCGCTTGGGTCGAATAAAGCACGTCCAATATTTGCAAGTCCTCGTTCTCGCAACACTTTGATTTGACATCTTGTCGAGCAGCACTACTGCTAGAAATGGTACGATCACAGCAAAATATACCATGGCACTTCGAAGGAACCCTTGATGACAACCCACAATCCACAATCGCCTCCGCATTCTGTATTTGAGTATACTAAGTTTGCACGATACTTGAGCTGTAGATAAAATAGGCGAAAGGCGTCCGCAGTGTAACCCTCCTCCAAGAAGTCCGTCACTCCGATGAAGTTCTCAGCGACTTCAACATCTTCCTTTCCCCGAATGTACTATTGTCCAAAGTGCACAAAGTGTTTGCACCACTCTTCTTCGTGGCCACAAGTATTATTGTGCGCCTCGCACTGTGCAATTTCGTCATAGTGATGTGGATATCGCAGATCCACTCCACTAGTGTGCACGTCCAGCTTATCACCGAGCACGTGCTGAGTCCCATAGCCGAGCATTTAATATGCCACCCGTGTCTCCCCATTCCCCACGGCGTAAACCATGCCGGTTCATCAGAGCCCTTTGCAGCTTTCCACAGCGCGAAATCTCTCGGGCCCTTCTTCTGCGGCTCTGCTTCGTTCACATTTCGACTGTCCTCCACACTGGCTGCCGCTACCATTTGGGCCTCCGTTTCAACACCCTGTTGCGCCTGTCGTGCAGGATCCAATTTACCGTAGCTAGTTCCCAGTTTCTGCGTGCTGAAGTACACTCCCGAGCCATCCGCAGCTTCGTACGCGAACCCTTTCCGCTCAATCTCTTGTATGTACTGGATGATTTCCGGCAAATGCTCGCTGACTCTTGTAATGACTGTCGGAGGCTTCACATAGAGCTTCGTCATGTCTTGAAAGAACTGACGCTCCTGCTCTCGAGCAAGTGTCTGGAAGCTCATCTGCTGCTCTCGAGCTCGTTGAATGATCTTGTCGTCCACGTCCGTGACGCCCATGACCAGCTGCACCTTGTAGCCGCCGATGCGCTCCGCCACTCGACGTAAGATATATTGACTAATGTATACTTTAATGCGCGCCCTATCGTACACGGTGGGACCACACGCGTACCATTTCAACACATTTGGTGTGGATCAAGACGCCCGTAGAAAAGCTTTGGATCCAGCCCAAAGGGTGAAGCTATCAACGACTGTGCGCTAGGTTGAACGCCGAGCTTTTTAAATCGTACTGAACAGTGCGTGTGTGTGCGTGTGTGTGCACATAACACGGCGATGTTTAGCTTTTATGCGCTAAGTGCGATCTAGCTTGTCCTTCATTTAAGGTATTTAGGAGTATCCGAAGTCACACTTTAATCAGGTCACAATTATGACACACACGCAATTAGCTTATCATCGATCAACGGAGAAGAGGGTCACATAAACAGTTGCTAAACGCTTATATCCAAAGGATTTTTGTTGCCCTAGCATGCTATACAGACATTAACAAAATCGTACTCATTCTTCATTGACTGCTAAGTGTCTTACATCTTAATTCAATTCTCAACACTGAATAACTCTCATCGAAGGACGAGCTTTAAAGATTGATCCCCTATCTTACACGTATCATGTAGCGGAGCTGTATAGCTCCTTAACAGAGGAGGTCTTGAACTCAAAGAGTCTCTTAGACAAAACAAACTAACAATGACGTACAGTCGTCCAAGCGTACAAGCTTAACAATCCTGGTTCCAAAGGGATTACAATTCACAGAATCACTCACTCACTAAAGACTACTAGTTGAGCAAGAGTAAGAACCTCACAAGACTAACACTCTTACAACACACTATGCCTTGAATAGTCACTAGCATCCAGCGATTCAAAAGGGAAACTGAACTTTTTCTAATTCTTTAACTACGGTAATAAAACCATAAAACCTTACCTGACTGACTTCTACATTGCGATCCTATGACAGAAGTTTTAATCCTGATCCCTACCAGTAAGGCGCAGTATTATGGTAAGCACGTGGTACCAAGACTGTACTACTCAAATCCACCGATCTTTACTTGTTTTGGACACACAACATAATTGGTTCAAACCGCCGTGTACCCCGTCACACCCTCCCCCACCAAACTGTCGACACCCTTGTGTCGACAATATTTTTACTACGCGTTGAGGTCTCAAAGTTCTGGTCCTTGACCATCGTGTTCACAACACATCTCAAATGACTGAGTCAAAGCCTTCGTCCTACACCTAGTATAATTTCTCGAAGAGGGTATGGTGGACTATGAGAGTGACACCGCTGTCTCAAGCATCTACGACCATCCTCCAGCCTCGCCACCGGCTCGTGACAACACGCGCATCATGACGAATCCTTTCGTGGAACGAGAGGAGGTACCATCACCTCTTGCACAGCCTACAGTCGTCGACCCTGCATTGGGTGTGTTGCACAACACACTTGATGAAAATTAAGCTCAAGATCTTCAGTCGTTCGATGACCGCAGGCGTCAAGCACAAAGTGTATGCACAGCGTATGCGCACAGTGGCTACCACTTCACACCACCGAGTGTGGATGAACGCATTCGTCAGACTGCCGGGAAGTCACTCGCAACGTGAATTACGAGACTCAAGGCTGTCATAGCCACAGCACTAGCGAAGAGGGATGCTCTCAGAGCGAGAAACTTGGGGATAGAGCTAACGACGACGAAAGATTATATTGATAGTCTAACTCTGCAAGCACAAGGTGAATCAGTGTCCGCCATGCGGACAGTAACCGTTGTTCTCTTCCTTGGTGATATAGAGACGGACATAGATGTCGTCTTCACGGGTTAGGCTCACAGAGCACGTCGTCTGAGCCCGTCAATTTTTTTAGAAAGCGCTTCACTTGCTCACGTTCGACCCAAACGAATGGTGCGCGTTGATATTGCAAAACAAAGGCCAAAGGCCAACTGCGATCGTTCTATTGCACCTGCTATGCTGGGGCATCTAAGGACCCGCGCATCAGTGCACCTGCTGCAGCTGCAACCTCCTCCACTCCCGCACCGGCCAGTGGGATGCTGATTGGGTCAACTGACCCTGAAGACGACGTTTAGAAACGTCAACGGCATACGGACAATCTGCTGCAGTGGCACTTCGTGCTCAAATAATTTCTTCGATTCCAGGTACCCCCGCAACTGCACCAAGCACTTGTACTGACATTCGCGACGACGTTATTGTAAAATTAATTTAAAAGGTACTGTCGATCCACTTACTATTCAATGAGAGCAGGGGGCGGCCAAAAAATCTCGTCGCGTCGTCGACGAATTATTACACGAGGTGCATGGATTTCGTGACCGCGTGGTGCGTCTTTGAGGACAACTAGATCTTCTCTAGAGCTTTTCTTGACTAATGGCGTCGTTGACTCTTTCGGCGCAAGCGCCTCGTGATCCACCATCGACGGATCAAGGTAAGGATTAAGCAAGCCGACGTAAACACAAAGTGCGTTCGCATCTTGCGTGGGGGGAATTGAGCGTATGCGCTAGGCCCCTCTTGGCCACAACCGTTAACGGCCCAATGAAGCGAGAACGTAACTTGGTCCCGCAGACCGCTCACACCACCTTGGTGGGTAGATTCTTAGCGTTCAGTAAGACTAGGTCTCCGACCTCATAACTCTTACTACACTTTCTACCGTAGGCATCATTTTGTCCCTTTTGCTTGTCCTGGCTATTAGCCATTGCGTCACACACATGGCGTAAGACATTTAATAGCGTACCAAACAACTGTCTCACCTGTTTTTTAACAGTATTATAGCTAACATCAGCAAGCCGATCGGTCATTCCTTTCCCACCAAGCCCAGAGCGTCGTAGTAGAAGCGTTAATGGAAAGCGTGGGTGAGTGAGACCATTAACGTAGAATGAAGTAAAGCCAGTAGAGGCATGATTAGCTTTGATCAACAAAAATTCAACAACAGGAAGCATTGATCTCCAACGCCTATGCGTATCAGTACAAACACTGCGCGAAATGTCACCAATATCACAATTGACACGTTCAGTTTAGCCATCGGTCTGTGGATGACCGGCTGCGGACATGTCCAACCTGGTTGCCAGCACCTTTTAAATGGAAGTCCAAAACTTTCCAGTAAAACTTAAATTACTATCAAAGACATTTGCCACAGGCAAATTGTGTTGACAAAACATACGGTCTATAAACAGCTTTGCTGTACATTTACCATTGATGGAATCAGGCACAACCGCTGAATAATCCATTTTGCTCAAATGGTCAACAAAGACCACAATACCAGTGTTGCCTTTCGAATCCCTCGGTAGCCAAACACAATTTCATTTTGATGGACTCCCAACACCCCAGTGGGTACTGCCAAACTAGTAAGCGATGCAACCGCATGTACTGAGAATTTGACCCGTTGACAGGTTTTACATGTACATACATATGTGCTCACCCATTTGCTCAACTTAAGCCACCTGAAAAGTCTAACTAATTGAGCTGTATGTCTTCGCACGACCGAGATGACCACTCAAAGCATTGTCATGTGCCTTAAAGAGAAAACTATACTTCAAGTTCTCGTCATAAGGAACAATGATGCGAGGCACATACTCAGCATCCATGCAATATCACATCAACCCACCATTGCTGACATATAGATGCAAGCGTGCAAGTAAACAGGCCGACAATTTGATGTCCGAGTCTTACAACTCCTTGCTTTCAAGATCGTGTAGCAATGCTACACATTGCTCATCACGTGCGTATGCCGCACGAATGATACCTACAATGGATGACGACAGAGTCATACCATGAGCAATCTTATAGATAGGTCTGCGCGTTAACGCATCAGCCAAGGCGTTTTGCTTGCCCGGCATATAATTCACCTCAAAGTTGAATTTAGCAAAGAAAGAAATCCAACGGGCCATATGCTGTGAGAGGCGATGCGACTGTGTCGCAGTGCGTAATGACGCATGATCTATATAGATTACAAAAGGCTTTGAGCTAAGTAGGTCGATTTTGAACTTAACAAAAGCAAGTTTGATTGCGAGTAACTTTTTATTGTGAGCTGGATAATTCTTCTCTGCATCCATAAGCTGACAAAACTCTATGCAATGACGCATTTATGCCCATCGACATCCGTCTGCAATTTTGCTCGACCAATAATAAAATCAGATGCGTCACAGTCGAATCTGAATGTTACTTAAAGTCAGGCAAATCCAAAGTTGGTGTATGAAGAAGACTGTCCTTAATCGATTCAAAAACGCTTATGTGTAGAATGCGTCCCGAAACCAAACTGCATCCTTCTAGAGGAGTTTGGTTACGGCATGTCAGCGTGATTTGCACTGTACTTGTGAAAAAAACCAGCAAGGCCGAGCCATTTACACAAGTAATTTTTTGTTTGACGGAACCGGCCATTCAACCAATGACTTTACCTCCAGCGGGATCCTTTCGAAAGCCACGCTTTCCAATGAATCACACCTAGAAAATAATTTCTTCCGCACCATAAATGCATTTCGATGCACTTTTATGCAGCTTGTTTGTACGCCTGCACTCAAGCACTGAGCGTAAATGGTCAATGTTATTGTCCACATCTATCCTACCATGTTATTCAAGACTATGGACAAAGATGTCATCAAAATAGCTGTGCATATCCTCGGTGAGGTCGGAATAATTGCGTTACAAGATAATTGAATGTAGCCGGGAAATTAGACAACTCTTAAGGCATGACAAGTCATTCTAGAAGCATACTGCTTGGAATACCAGCCGCTGTGAGCGGAAAATCACTCGCTCGCATGAGCCATCGATAACGCCCATCGACCAAATCGAGTGCACTGAGCATGTTACAACTTACCATAGCGTTCTAAAGAACATCCTACCCAGTAATAGGCGTCTGTGTCGGCTAAGTGAATACACTTAGCTTTTTGTAAGCATGCACAATACACCACTTCCTATTTGGCTTCCTGACATAATATGTCGGTATCGAGTGCGGAGACTTGCTCTCACGCACCATGCCAGCCGCGTACTTATCACGAAAGAACTCGTCAACG